TCCAAAGTTTCTTATTCTTTTCTGAAAATTGAAATTTTTGAAAAACAAATGTGATTTCCAAAGTTTCTTGCTTAGTAAGTCTGCGGACCACTAGTAAGTCGTTTGAGCATGATGATTAAGTCATTCGGGCCATCGATAAGACTCTCGAGCAAGATGCATTTAAAATGGTCAGCAGAATTTGCAGCGCTAAAATGACATCATACATATTCAGGCATTTGCGGAATATGAGCACACATATTCTTTCTATCAACTTTAAATGTTTTACATGAATTCAAAAAATCAACAAATATTTCATTTCATGATTTCGTGTAAAAGAAGACGAGTTTCAGCAAAGATTCGGTCTATATTTTCACCTTTAAAAAAAGTGGATCTCAGCAAAGAATTCAGGACCTTCGGTTCATTACCCTTGGGTACCTCAAATACATATCAATGACACATGATAATCTTTTGCACGTAAAATTCTTCAAAGAGAGGATAGACCAAACATTTCTGAGGAAGGGTTCGTAATGAGATTAACTTGTCTAATGAGGAAGAAAAAGTTCATAATGAGAAGAACTTGTTCAGAACTCGGCGCATCCATCACATCAACATTTCAGAAGAAGGGTTCATAATGGGAAGAACTCATCCAAAGAGGAAGAAAAAGTTCATAATGAGAAGAACTTGTTCGAAAATCGACACATCCATCACACAATGAGATATATTAACATTTTAGAAAGAGGGTTCGTAGCAATAAGAACTCATCCAACGAGGAATGAGAAGTTCATAATGAGAAGAACTTGTTCGAAACCCGACACATCTGTCACACAAGGAGATGGATCAATATTTCTTAATAAGGGTTAATAATGAAAAGAACTCACCCAATGAGGAAGAATAAGTTCATAATGAGAAGAACTTGTTCGGAACTCGACACATCTGTCACACAAAGAGATGAATAAACATCTCTAAAGAAGGGTTATTAATGAGAAAAACTCACCCAATAATGAATAATGAGTTCATAATGAGAAGAACTTGTTCGGAACTTGACACATCATCACACAAAGAGATAGACCGACATTTCGGAAGAATAGTTCATAATGAGAAGAACTCATCCGAAGAAGGGTTCGTAATGAGAATAACTCATCAACAATGGAGAAGAAGTTCGTAATGAGAAGAGCTTGTTCAATCTGTAATCGTCTATTGCATAAGGAGATGGATAAATGAAGAGTTCATAATGAGAACTCTTCCGACGAATGGGTCCATAATAAGAAGAACTCATCCAACGAGGACGATAAAGTTTGTAATGAGAAGAGCTTGTTCAACCTAGGATCATCCATCACACAAAAAGGTAGATTAACGAAGAGTTCGTAATGAGAAGAACTCGTAAAGAATAACGAATGCAAAAAATTATGTTTTATATCTTTGGTTCATTCCCGTTTCCACAACAATGAGCAAAGAAGAGCATCTAAAATCACCATTTTTTATTTATTTTATTTTTATTATTCTTATTATTGTATTATATTATTATTATATTAAAAAATAAATAAAAAGCCAAAAATTAGAAGAAAAAAATACAAAAAAATCAATACAAAAAAGGAAATATTCATGTAACATCTGTTGCCCATTGTTGTCATCCTTACCCAATCAATACCTGAACCACCGACCACAATCTCCAGCAAATTCCCATCAGCCTCACATGCAAGATAAGAAGACAAAAACAAAGGGATTAAATGTTTTTATCTTTTTCTTGTAATAGGGTTCTATAAAACCCAACAAAATGAATGTAAAGGGGGCTCTCCTGATTCAAGGAAAAAGCAATATACAACTTCATTTTCAGCATCTATTTTTTTCATTTTATATTTTGATTCCATTCGAACAAAACCAAATATCATAAACAAAAACCAAAAAAAAAAGCAAGCCTTTTTTATTATTTCTACTTGAACCAACATGAAAAAAAAGTATAAAAATACTAAATGAAAAAAGAAAACAGATATGAAGAAGTTTACCTCTTGATTGGAACCCTTCGTCGGCGACTGGAACCTCTGTTCGCATATTCGAATGGTCACAAAAGAAGAAATGGGCCGGTAAAAACATACTAAAAAATAGAGTTGATCCGACAGCGGACGGAGACGGTATGAGCCTCGGAAGCCGAGGGGTTGTCGGCCTGCTTCACAGTGTTTGGAGTTGTCCCTTGCAAAACAATCCTCGGATTTGTGTAGTCGGCGTCGAGACGAGGCCCTCCCGAAAATTTGGTGGCCATTGGCCACCAGCGACGACGACCAACACGATGGTCGGTGACGGCCTATAAGGCAGTGCCACCACTCGCGTCTGGACGAGTTAGAAAGAATGGAGAGTGATTTTTTTAGGAGAAAGAGATGAATTATGTAAATAAGGAAAAAAAAGGGGCAAAAATAGCCTATTTATAGGCTCTGTAAAACGGTGACGTTTAGCACATGTCCAAACTCGGTGAAACGGACTGTGCGTTTTGGGAGCCAAGGGGCAAATTGCACGCAGTCACTCGATTTTCCTCCGAGGTCACATGTTTCCCGTTATTTACTTAAATTAATTTTAACTTTTGTACTTATTTTGTTATTTTTTCATTTTATTTTATATTACTAATTTTTGGTTTATTTGCTTACAGGTCACTACACTTTTACCATGTTTTGCTTTTTAGTTCATGTTTATTTACAATATTTCATGTCTAATTTCATTTTTATTTCAATTTAATCACTATTTTGATTTGTTGCTTTTATTAGGTTTTAACCCCCAAGTATTCTATCGATTTATAATTTAGTCCCTAATCTGAAATTGATTTATTTAATTACAATTTAGTCATTGATTTTATTTATTTTATTTCAATTTTATCCTTATTTAAAATTAGCTTATTAACTTTAATATTTTCTTTTCTTTTCAGGTTATTCGAATCAATTACCGATTATATATATTCATTTTAAATTGTTTTAATCTTTTAATTTATTTTATTTCTTTAACTTATTTTCTTTTAACTATTTATTTTAATTAGATTATTTAATAATTATTCTAACTTTATTTTTTTTATTTTTTCCAGGTCCGAGCATTCAGGTAATTTCTCGTCAGTTTAAAAGTAAATTATTTTTACTAGTATGTTAATATTTTTAATTTCAAGTCTTTAATCCTTTAGATTTAGTTTCTTCACATTTTATTCCTTTGAATAGGGAAATTGCCAATTTGGTCCCTTCTTTTATGTTGAGGGATTCAAATTGACTTTTTGATTAAAATAATTAATTCGATTAATAACTAGAATCTTAAATTACGTTTTTAGACCTCTAGGATTATATTTTTACACTTAGGTCTCTAGACTTTAGATTTTTACACTAAGGCCCTTAGACTTTAAATCTTTTATAGTTTAGTCCCTATACTTTATATTTTTACCATCTTAGTCCTTTAATTATGGGATGATTCGATTTGAGTTTTCGCAAGAAAATGTTCGATTGCTCAAATCAATTATCTGATCCAATAATTGGTTAATAAAATCAGATAGGGTTAATATTAGACACTCATTTTCAAGTTTAGTCCTCTAGGATCCTTAATTTCATAATTTAATACAGATCAAGAGAAGTCTTCATGAATTCACCTAGTATAATTAGGATTATTTTAATTGGTTGATCGATTGCATTCGTATTTTCAAACACAAGGCAATGTTCACTTATTAGGGAGTCAATAGTATATCTCCCGTAAGTATGCTCAAGGGGTGGCTGTTGGTGATTCCTGAAGTAGGTCGACATCCTTTTCGTTAACCCTGTCATGTTTCAAAAATTCCAAGGCAATGTTCGATTATTGGGCATAATAATTGATCTCCCACATTCATGCTAGGGGTTTAATATTATTCGCTTAAATAATCCAACATCATTTTCAATCGTGCATTCATAGTGAATTTTTTTATAAAATAAGGTTTGAACTCAAAATTTCCAAATTTCAAAATAGGATAATCAACTAGGTACCAATTTATGGGCACTGTGGGGGTGTTACCCTTCCCCACGTATAACCGACTCCCGAGCCTGATTTTTGAATTTTCGCATGCCCCAAAACTCGATATTTTGGTCAAATAAAATATTTATTAAAATCACCCTATTTTTATGGTGCTAACCCCTAAGTCGTACTAGTTTTTTTCTCACCTGGACGAAAAACAATGATGACAATAACATTTGAAACATTATACACCTATTTTTAACGAAAAATTCTTTAGACACAAACGTTTTTCGATGCATAGTTTGAACACTTATTTTTGTATTAAGTCGATATAAATTTATTAAATTAAATAAAAAAAATGTTATCAAATTCCCCTGATCAAATAATAACACATATGGCTTGATTAGAAAAATATGATTAAAATAATAAAAGTACATAAACAATGAAGAAGAAATATACTAATTTTTTAACCATCACGTCAATTTCTCTTATCAAATGTTAATATCATATGTTCAGAGCAAATAGCGACATTATTTAGATACTTAATATTGATAAAATTGCTATTTCCGTATAATCTAAAATTATTAAATCAATGACCAAATTAAAAAATTCCTCATAATGAAATTATAATGGAGCACATATTTACGAGATGTCATGTCAATGCTGTAAAAAGACATTTTAGTTGAGATTTTCATTGAGAAACAATTATCTAACCGTTTTTTGAAAAATTAATGATCAAATTTAAAATAAAAAGAATAAAGAAACTGACCTTATTATGATGCAAAAAAAGAGGGAAAATGCATGCTATGAAGTACGATCTCGCATTATTTTGGAACCGGTCGTTTGTAAGGTTGGGCGGTGGTGAAATCAGGATGGCTTTCAAGATCAACACAATCATTATAACCATGCATCATATGCTAATTACTGCAGAATTTGGCACCAAACTACAAAAGGAAAAGGATACAAATCGGCAACGCATCTTCTAATAAGATTTTTCTTAATCAAAGCACACTGGGTTATTTGTTCAAATTTCAAAATATTTGTTTACGCAACAAACCCCAAGAGCCCATTATTTAAAGTTCCAAAAGTAAGCAAATAAAGAGCATAGGACACAAGCGAAACAACTTAATATTACTTGCATGAGGATCTACGGATGGTTCTCCACCAAGCTCCACCCGCAGGTTGTCATATGTATATACCTTTGGCATCTGCTTAACAGTAGGGAATAGATATCAATCAGCATGACAAATATCATTCGCTGTATGCCAGCAAGTAACATACCCTTCACACTGTAACAAACTAAATTCTCGCAAGCAGCAGTGTCAACAACTTTACACCAAATGAAATGTAGATTACTTCTCTATTTACGTTTTAGCTACTAATGATGCACAACATGAGATGATGATCGATGTATCAGTGAAAAAAGGAATAAAATGCCATATGAAATAAAAAGAAGGATGTGGTAAAGGAATCTTCCAAACAGATATCACTAAACCATATGCAAACAGGAAACCTCAATTCTTCTATTTGAAACATTATTGTTTAAATTTCTCAATTTCAACTCTCAATAAGGTTTTTGGAGTATATTATGAAAAGAAAAAAATTATAATTGTACAAGTAAATAGTCGTTTCCATTCTTTTACCATAAAATATCTAACGTCAACTCCCAAGAACTTTGAAATATCTATACAAGTGATATGGCAGTGCTAATATATTGTCAAGATATCCTACAAGGGCTTCTTGAAAATCATGAAACAAATTGTCAAGGCTGCCTCAACAATCCAATACATCAAAGAGGGGAAATGCATTTTTGTAAACATTTACCAATTCATCAGAGAAGAAAGCAAGGAAAAACCAAGGACAAGGTCTTTATATTGTGAACCTGAGCAAAATTCTTCCTCTCAATTGTAACAATTGATGAAGAAAAGGGGCTGAGTCTTCTACAACGAAATATCTTCCATCCTAAAGCGAGTAGTTAATGTATCCCCCTATATTGGGATAATAACTCACTTGAACATAAAGTTTAGCATCCCTCAGCAGATGACAAGAGTGACACTATGATACCATTTGGTTTTACCAGTATCCTACATTCCTATTTTCCCATTTTGAAACAAATACAAGAACACCTCCAAAGCTACAAAGTACAAACATTAATATTACAAGAATGCATTCAATAACTACCAAGAAAATTGAATTAGACTAAGGCAAAATCAAACAATCAAGTCAGAGATTTTAACTCACGAATGGAATCTTCGAGGCCTTATCATTCCACCAAGCCAATAATCCCAAAGACGCAAAGAAGCTCAAACTTCCACACACCCAAGCTAATGCCTCGTACTACCCCCAGAAAAAAAAACGAAGCATAAGAATAAGAATGAAGAAAAAAAAGTCAACTTCTTTTAAAAAGCAACTGGGTAAAATTAGGGAAATATTACAGTTAAAAAATATAAATTGGGATTAGTTGGGGTGTTTAAAAATATGAATTATATGATTTGTTGATTCCATCACCCGATACAAACTTATCTAGCATTTTAGAGATAAATACCTTATTTTTTCAGCCGAGTATCCGGCCCATTATTTTTTGCGGGTTTTCGGGTCGGATCCAGGTCACACCTTAACTGGATACTCAGCGATCCGGTTTTTTTTATTGCTATTTTTTAATATTATATTTTCATTTTTAATTTCAAAATTATTTTACCATAACATTCTAGATCTATATTTTTTTCCAAATATTTCACCTTAACATTTAAATTATTTATTTTAATATCAAACTAATATAAATTTAATTTGTAATTTAAAATTTTATTTTTTATGATTTTAAATTTTAATTTTAGATTATATAATTTGAACTTATAAATTTTATGCATATGTTTATAAACTTTTAAGTTTTAAATTTTATATTTTCTTATGTGATTTTTTCTAAAATATTAATATAAATTATTATTATGCCTTGTTGAGAATACAATGCGACTTAGGCAAGGGACACGCCTAAAGTGTAATGCGACATAGGCTAGATCACCCGGACTACCACACGTCTACTATAGTCATTGTAGCATTTACCTTATTATAACAAATAATCTCACATCTGTATATTATTCGAGTAATTTATTTTTTCCAACATAATATTTTAAAAAATTAGCCAGATTAATAAAAAAAACATTATTAGTACCCTATGAGTCCGATCGACGCCACCAAAAACTCAAATTCATAAATCATGGATTTTCCTTTGAATTATCATAATCTTTTTATTAATTAACTCCGATCCACACATAAAATCTTAGAAATAAATTACTCATATGAAGCTGGTAAAATCATATATGCTTTGTTGTGATTAATTCCTTGCTTAATTCTAAATATGCCATGTCAACAGTTACGTCCATATAGACTTATCTAATTAGTAAAAAGAATCAACTGTTAATTAAGTAATAGTTTTCGTCTAATTAGAAAGTTTTATCTCAAAATAAAACGTTGGATCAAACTACTTAAAAAAAGAATACGAGTTAAAATATTATTTTGTCAAACGTTAGAATTTAATTTTATCGTTGTACCTATTTAGTAATAAACCATACAACGTTGAAGAAAGATAAATCCTATCATAAGCTCTCTTGAAAGATGCTATTTATAAAATGCATATATGAACTCTCGGTGTTTGATCTAGAAGTATTTTTCAGGGTAAACACATATATATTAAAAATCGAAATTTTTGTATGGAACATACACAAATAAAATTTTAAGGTAGATATTATTAATAAAATAAACAACTAACATAAAAAAATTTGAATTTCAATATGAGCACGTGTCTACTCAAAATACATACATCTACTATTGTATTCTATACATGACATGTTCAATCAATAAATGGTTATTATTTAATTAAAAATAATAATATAAAAATGCCATGAAAATGATAAATATTAGGGTAAAGTACAATGGTCCCTCTATTATAAGATATTGCTTTATTAAGTCTTTTGACTATTAAATGTTACAAAATGGTCCTCCGATTATAGGGAGTTATTTTGTTGAGTCCCTCAACTATTAAAAGTTATAAAATTGTTACACTACTCATTATGTTACAAACTCGTCATTTTCTGTTAAAAAATTAACGGTCACCTAAGTTAGACGTTAAGATGTTGACTGGAATATGATAGTCATTTAAGATTATGAGATCAGATTTTATTATATCTCATTTAGCAGGTTAACGTATAGCTCAGATTGTTATAAAAAATTTAACGAAAAATGATGAATTTGGAACATAATAAATAGTCAGGTGACCATTTTATAACTTTTAATAGCAAGAGAATCAACAAAGTAATTCCCTATAGTCAAGGTCTATTTTTTTAACTTTTAATAGTAAAATGACTCAATAAAGTGTTATCATAGTCGAGAGACTATTTGTATACTTTACCATATATATTAATATTAGTCTAACTTTTCCATAGTTATTCAACTTTGTATAATATATGATAAATTATGCGTTTAATATCTAAACTATCAGTTTTGATTCGTTTTAGTACCTAAACTATCAGCTTTGGTTCGTTTTAGAAAATTGAAAGTTTAGGTACTAAAATGGACCAGAACTAATAGTTTGTGTACTAAACATGTTATGTTTTCAACGGTGGAAAATTAAAATGAAACAAAAATTAAACGTTATGTATGATTTTTAAAAAAATTAAAAGTTTAGGTACTAAAATAGATCAAAATTGATAGTTTAATTATTAAATGTTTAGTTTACCCTATAATATATTTGTTTTCTATTATTTTACCTAATGGTGAATTCGTCGTCCCTTGAACTTTAACAATATAAACCCTTCTAAAACGAGGCAAAACTGTAGGGTGGGGCGACACTAAGACAGAAGCGTAGACAGGAGAGGGGGAAGGATAGGTCATGGCTGTATAAAATAAAATAAAAAAAATCTACAAAATATATTGAGAGGGAGAGAGTAATGGAGAAGAGGGAAAGCAATTATTACCTTTTAATGTGATGCACGCATCCATGGCAGAACAGAGAAGGGTACAGAGTACTGCCATGACACAAGGGTAGAATACAAAATCAAAAAAAAAAAAAAAACTCATTTAAACAACGAGCCGAACAAGTTTTCCCAGAAGAGAGAGGTTGAGTCGAGTTAAAAATTGAATTGTTGCAAGATTGAGCAGAGGAGAGAAGAAAAGGAATGGAGTTCAAAAAGAAGAGAAAGAACAAGATAAAAATGGGTCTTTTTTCATTTTAGTTTGGAGATTGATTTCATGGCATGCAAAGAAAGCTAGAGTGGTTTTGATAAATCTTGAAGGAAACCAGATATATAATCTATTTCTCTTGCTTTGTAGGTGGGAAAATGTTGTCTTTAACTTGATCTCTGATTTTCCAAAACAGCTTATTTGTCTTCTCGTTTCCATACAGTACAAATGCACTTTGAATTACAGGCTAATGGTGTTGTAGAACTCGGAGGTTTTGGTCCGATTTGTCAGCAAGACAAGTGGATAAATCAGCAAGAAGGTGATAGCTTTACCTTTGCAAACAACGAAAAAGAAGCAATTTCTGTTCATATGAGAAGAAGCCAAAGCCCACCCACACCAGCATCCACTCTCTCATCGTCTTTCAACGGCGGTGCCTACGATGCGGACGGCGGAGGTAATTCCGCCAAAAACACCACCACCACAGTGGCCACCGTAGCACCACCTAAGAATCCGCTTCTTCAACCGGTTCCTAGAGAAATAGGCCTTACTCCGGGGCATGAAGGTACTCAAAGATGCAATCTGGGATTGGAAGATTGGGAAACGATGCTGTCAGAATCAGCCATCTCACCGAGTCAAGACCACTCGATTCTGCGTTGGATCGCTGGTGACCATTCCTTGGGTGTCAAACAGCTGCTTCAGAGTGAGATTACTGGTACTAACCAGGGATTTGATTTTGAAGGCAATGCAGGGCCGTGGGTTGTTGACCAGGGTCCTGGGTTTGACTCAATTGGTAATGTGATTTCAAGCGCTGCCCTGAGTTTCGGTGGTGTTCCTGGTTCTGGGTTTGTAGGTGCTACTGTTGGGTTTAATACAAACATCCAAAATATGATTTTTACTTCTCCAGCTAACAATACTGGTCATCCCGTTTCTCTGCAGCTGCAGCCTGCTCAGTATCTTGAAAACCAAGATGAGAAACCACAGATTTTTAGCCCACTTGTTTTCATGGATCAGGAACGGCATCCTCAAAATCCAAACTTTTCCTGGCCATTACCTCAAGAAGAGCACCTCCTTCAGCCTTTGCCAAAGCGTCTCAATCCTGGTAACTTGGAATTTTCTTCTCAGATCCCAAAACTCCCGTTTTCTGATTCCGGCCAGGAATTGTTTACTAGAAAGCAGCTGCAACAACAAGGGTTTCCTCAGGGTTCCCAGTTTGTTCCTCAGCAGAAGCCGCCGATGGTGGCAAAAGATGAAGTGTTGAGTCCAGCAGAGGATATGGCTCAACAGCAGCAGCAGTTGAACCAGTTACACCAGCAACAGCAAGTCACATTGTTCGAACTGCTTTACATGGCTGCAGAGTTTGTAGGGAGTGGGAATTTTTCTCACGCGCAACGGATATTGGCGCGGCTCAATCACCAACTGTCTCCAGTAGGTAAGCCCCTTCAAAGGGCTGCTTTCTACTTCAAGGAGGCTTTACAATTACTGCTCATGAATAACTCTGTCTCTCCGCCACCACCGAGGGGCCCAACCCCTTTTGACATTATCTTCAAAATGGGGGCTTACAAGATCTTCTCTGAAGTCTCTCCGGTTATCCAATTTGTAAATTTTACCTGCAACCAGGCTCTTCTTGAAGCTCTTGATGGTGCTGATCGAATTCACATTGTGGACTTTGATATTGGATTTGGTGTTCAGTGGGCATCGTTTATGCAGGAGCTTCCCTTGAGGAGTAGAGGAGCTCCTTCATTGAGAATTACTGCCTTTGCCTCACCTTCAACGCACCATCCTATTGAGCTTGGGCTTATGCGTGACAATCTTACACAATTCGCTAATGAGATTGGTTTAAGTTTTGAGCTTGAGATGCTTAATTTCGATGCTTTAGTTCAAACCCCTTACTCTTTGCCCTTGTTTCATTCAAATCAAAACGAGGCAATGGCTGTGAATTTTCCAGTTTGGTCTTCTTCGAACCAGCCCTCTGCTTTGCCCAATCTTCTGCACTTTGTGAAGCAGCTTTCCCCAAAAATCATGGTGTCTTTAGACCAAGGGTGCAACAGAAATGATCTGCCATTCCCACAGCACATTGTCCATGCGTTTCAGTCATATATAGACCTATTAGAATCACTTGATGCCATTAAGCTGACTTCTGATGCTGTCAACAAGATTGAAAGGTTCCTTCTTGTGCCACGAATTGAAAGCACCGTGTTGGGGCGACTGAATGCACCTGAGAAAATGCCCCTTTTGAAGACTCTTTTATCCTCAGCTGGTTTTGTCCCTGTAACATTCAGTAACTTCACTGTAACTCAGGCAGAATGTGTAGTAAAGAGCGCTCAAGCTAGGGGATTTCATGTCGAGAACCGCCGGACTTCGCTTGTGCTTTGCTGGCAGCAGAGGGATCTTATCTCAGCATCAGCTTGGAGATGCTGAACCTGAGTAGCAGCATCAAACAGGCTGGGGAGCTTTTTTTCGTTTAGCAACTAACAGTCCATCAACTCTATCCTGAAGTAGGACTTAAGTCAAATTAACAAATTCTGCTGCTTTTATGACTAAATGCTTGTTGTCTTTCTTTCGAGTCTCCTCTCCTTGTTGACTATCGTAATGTTTTGGACATATTGATATTGATGCTATGTATTCTGATATCTTGTTGGTTTTTTTAGTGAGCAACTGTATTATCTTCTCGTTAAGGTGGTGCTGTTTTGTTTTGTTTTCTTACAACAAGTGATGACTAAAATTGCATATTCAACTTTCCAGATTTTTTTTTATATTTATGGGTATTAAATTGTCTTACTGCTCCATGAACATCGCATACCAGACCAGACCAATCAGTGTGACTAAAGATGTCCTGTGATGAATCACTTGACAGTCTATGTTGTGCAACTCATGTATATGTTCTCCAGTATTTCTCGTCTTTCTCCCATAAACTCTTGTATATTTGCTCAATCTGTGGACTTCCTTAGGACCCTATGGAACTGCAGAGATACTGGATAATGTAACCTGTTTTGGATTCCTTTTCAATCAGCTAATTAATTTACCATGATTGACTTCAATACTGGGAAGTTAAAACCTACTTCAGATTGAGGATTTAGGCTTTATTTCAACATCAAATAAGGATTGGGTTATAAAATAGGATTCAAATAACTCGATAGTTTTAGTAATTATTGATCGATTTTCAAGTTAGACTCAAGTCTCTTAACTCTATACGATATTTATACATCGCATATGAAAAAATAGGAAGAAATACATATTTATATCATACTATATGTTTATATAAAGATGTTTAAATTATAATCAATTAATATCAAAACATTATAAATATTTATAATTGAATTTAAACATAAATTCAAATGAGTTAACTTGAATCGGATTTTTTTTAATAAAATTTAGTTATAAAATAGGATTCGTTAACTCTATCAACTTAAAAAAAATATTCGATTCGATCCAACACTTACTCTGTGTATCCCGGATTCTATGCTTTGAACATTAGCAGAAACAATAATTGAGTATTAGAATAATCATTTTTTGCTTGAAGACCTCCTATGGAAGCCTGAGTCCGAAACTCAACCGTTTAAGATATCATCTGTTCTGAGATTACCTAAACATATGATTGGCTATGAAGAGGAAGACAATAAACAAAAAACACAAGATTAACTATATTTGCTCAAATTCTGTTAAACAATCGTTGCTGGCTTGCCTCGGCTTATTACTTAATTGGTTGTATGCCGAATGTACGTAACTTTGTCGCGCAGTGTCGGACTCACTACAAGAAAATACTTTAGTGATAATGCAAATGATCTCTAAAAGCATTAAATTTAAACACTAAAATATTTAATGACAAAATTTTTAAATCGTCACTTGCCATCACTAATAATTCTGTCATTATTATTTTAGTCACAATTATTCTAAAAATTGTCACAATTGTTCATTTTTTGTGACCATCTATTCGACATAATTATCAATATAAATTGTGGTGAATTTTATAAAAAAATATTTTTTGTGATCATCAATATTGTCACATTAAGTATTTTTTAGTGACCAAATGTTTGATACTATTATCAATAAAAATTGTGATAAATTTATTTGACACTGAAAGTATATTTTATGACCACTAATATTGTTACTAAATGTTTGACACTATTAACAATAACTCTGTCATTATTATATTAGTGACGACTTTAATGAATTGTCGCAATTATTTGTATTTTTTGTGACTACATTTTTTGACACGGAAATATTAATAACAGTGACAAAAATTTAGATACTAATATCATCTTTATTAGTGACAAATATTTTACCACCACTACATAACTAAATTAATTAAAAAATTTATTATGTAATCAATTATAGTATATATTACATTTTTAATTATATTCATATTCTTTAGGAACTTACATTGCAATCATTGTCATCGGTTAGTTATTTTTCGTTAAAGATAGATGATGTGACATCTCCACATTTTTTTTGTGTGTAACCACCAATATTTGATTTCAAATCGGGAACTACGTAAGCATAGACGACCCTCTCAACTCAATTTACGGATCTAGTGTCTTATCTTGTTAGACCATGTTGGTTTAACATGTTATTTTTTATAAATTAATATGATATATAGCTTTTAAGATGATCGAACATGGGACCTTAGGGAAAGAATGCAACTCCTAGTCATTGTGCTGAGAAAAAAAAAATGTATGTTGTTGACAAAAAAAAATAATTTAATTAAATTTTCTATGATTTCTCATATGAAAAACGTACTTGGAAGATAAATATAAAAAATAATTAGTTTATTTTAAAATATAATCGTATAAATATTAATATTTAAATCTAAAATAGTATTAGGTGTTCTTAAATTATATTTAAAATATAAAACAAAAGTATTTGACAATATATTAACCCCTTGTAGTGAAAATTCTAAATTTTAAAAAATATATTAATAATTAACTGGTGTTTGCAAAATTCACATATATCTCTATAAAGATAATAAATTACATATAAAAATTAATCAATTATTTTGAAAAAAAACTAATCATAATTGAAGATTAAATGACACTATCAAAGCTTATGGTATCGTCGTTCATTTATTTCGTTAATAAAAAAATTCATAATAATATTAAATAATATATTTAAAAGATTAAGGTAATTTTATTAGTCATTTATTAGTCATTTAGTCATTGTACAATTTGGATGATTATTGAAATTTAAAATTTTAAAATATGTACAAAATTAGTTAAATTAGAGCGTAAGACTAATAACAAAATTTTACCTTTTTGACAAACTAGTTTATCTTAACAACGATTTTAATTATTATTGATGTCAATATTTATCACATCAAAAAGTAAAATTTTAAGTGACAAACAACTTTTTTCTCACAATAAATATCAAATAATAGTGTCCGCTTTATATATCATCACTATCATACCATTTCTCGTCAAGGAAATAATTGTGTCAATTTGCGTATTGTAATAATGTCAAAATTTTATGACGGTGAAATTTATTTCACAATTATATACTTATAGTGAGAATTTAACCGTGAAAAAAATATAATAATCATAGTTATTACTATAATAGTGACGAGATAAAAATACATCACACCTTTTATTATTATAAGTGTCGTAAAAATTTGTCACCAAAAGTTTGATATTTATGACAAAATTACTAATAGTCACTATCAATATGCCATAAAAGCTTTACTCTTATAGTGAAACTTGTGACGTAATTTAAGAATATCACAAGTATATCATTATAAAATGATAAATTTATTAGTGAAAAAAATATTGTCACAATTATGAATAATAATAGTGACAATTTAATATGGTATAACTATTACATCATTTCTTGTTAAAAAATGTGATGTCAATTCAAGCATTTTATCAGTGACTAAATATAAGTAGGACACATCTATTCACTTGAATAGTGATAAAATTATTTCGCCACAAATCATGAATTAAAACTAGTGACAAAAATAATTATCGTCACAAATAACCAATTAAGACTAGTTACCATAACAATTATCGTCACAAATCACCAACTAAGACTAGTGATAAAATGTTATCGTCACAATTATTAATAATAATAGTGATTACGCAATATATTGTCACTATTATAATTTTTCACGAAAAATAAGTTGGCGTCAATTCAACCATTCTATTATTGACCAATTGATAATGACGACTTGCTTTGGTTACAATAAAACACTTTTATTGATGAATTACTTGTGATGAATTTCAAAATTGACATAATTATATATAAAGAGTGACAAAATAAAAGTAAATCACAATTATTCATTTCAGAAGGACAAAAAAATAATTTTCATCATAAATAACAATGCAAATCTTTAGTATGTGATTAAATGATCACTAAAATCTTAATTCTTGTAGTGATTGATGCAATAGTAGATTTAGAAATATTTTTAGGATAAACGCGCATAATTTAATAACATAAAATCTTTGAATAAATGAACGTAAATAAAATTTTAAAATAAACAATACTAATAAAATAAAAAATTAATAAAAAATTAAATTTTAAAATACACACGTAACCACCACAAATTATACATGTCTTTCCCATTGGACCGATGTATATTTTTATTCATTTGCTTGTTTTCATTACACCAAACACGTAACGCGTAATTCTCTGTTTTTATCAATTCATTATTAAATGGTGTACTTTATTTTTGACATCATATTTTAAGGTTGGAGCTTTAAATCAGTTTTTGATGTACAAATTCTTGTCTTGTAGTACTTTGAATTTGCTGTACCATTTTTCGCCATTGGAACATCAAATCAACTCACATGGGTCATCATTAATTGACCCAACTTCTCTTGATACTGATAAGTTCACATTTTTCTTTAGATATAATACCAAAAATTATGATTTTTATTTTAAATTAGTCATTAATTTTTTAAATATTTTAATTTCATCCTTAAATTATTATGATTATTTTAAATTAATCTTTAAACTTTTGAATATTTCATTTTTATCCCCAAATTATGAGCTTCACTCTAAACTAGTTCCCAAACTTTTTAAACATTTCAATTTCATCCCATACCATACACATATACTAATCACATCCTTTGTTAATGAAATCATTAGGCCAAGTTATATGCTTCCTCTGTCCCATAAAAATGTCCCTTGTTGACTTTTTATTAGTCAAATCTTTTAAATTTGACCATGATTATTTTAAAATTTTAAAATAATTAAATTTTATAAATATTTATTTGAAAACTACTTGATTGAAGGTTTTTAAAATATATTTCCACATATGTTTTTAAATAATAACTAGTCAATGTTCAAAAATATTGACCAAAAAAGTCAATAATGGATATATTTTATGGGACACAGGAGTATAATATATTTGAAAAAAATTAGGTTAAACTATGGTTGAAACTTATTGCATATTTGGATGAATTTAACTATGAAATTGGAATATTCAAAAGTTTGGTGATCAATTTAGAATAAGAGTCATAGTTTGAGGATGGAATTTGAATGTAAAAAAGTTTAAAGACTAATTTAAAATGAGAGATA